TTGAACCTCCAGTGAACTGCAGGTCCAGCCAACTCCACGTGAAGCAGAAGAACCGCCCGTCTGAACCTAGTCAACCCACGGTCTCAGGGGAGAGATGAAACTGCTGTTTTGAAGCACTAAGTTACGCAGCAGTACAGAACTGGAATATTCCAGAGGCACCACCCTCTGGAAAGACGGTGATTAAGCTCACCTCCATGGGCCACTTTGGTCCAACACACTACCAGAAGAGCCTTGTCTTGGCCCCGTGAATCCTGCCAGACTGCAGGAAAGTGTCAGCCGGTGCCCAGTGTTCGTAGAGTGAGTTCTAGAATGGCGCAGCCTCACCCATTGGAGCTATCTCTGCGCTCAGCCCTCCTGGCAAGCTCTGCACCGTGCTCATTCTTCTGCCTTGCAGACTGGCCACCTTCTTCCAACTTCTGGTTTGTTTTCCTGGATCCCGACTTTGTTCTTCCATTCTGGCAAGAAGCCTCCGTAGAACAATAACCCCCTACTTAACCTCCTCTGGCTTCATCCTTGAGTCGTTGTCATAGCTACCTCCTCGTCTCAGTTTCAAACAGCTTTTTTCTGGAACTGTGTATTAATGTCATGTCCTTGCATGACACGGTTTTCAAATATCTAACTATCCCCACCAGCAAAAAGTCCACCGTAGTATTTCTTGCAGAATTGGGTGCCATATTTTAGATGTGGTCTACACCAAAGAAGGCATTGAGACTTCACCGCTTCTAGAATTTATGTTCCACATACCTTCCTTTTCAGCATTTGAGTTTATTTCAAGTATATTTTACTCAAACAGGTGCAGGTGAATTACAGGGCCCTGTGTCTCACCACTGAATTCATTCGTTCGAGTTAACATCAATCTAGCCATCAAAGCTTTTCTGGGTGGATTTGTTCAAACAACGGGCTCTAGAATTAACTGGATGAAAATTCATTCCATCTTCATTCCCCACCTCGCCCGTGATAAGCACATTACAACCAATCTGTGCTTGCAGGGAATCTGGGGTTTCCAGTCTAGAAGAAACACCATGGCAAAAGGAAGTAAACTTAGTTCAACTTGACGTTCAATCAACAAAGCTGTGTAATCACCCATTCTTTAGGCAGGGAGTGGCCCTTTGCCATTCTCAGGCTCCAAAACGAAGGGGAGAATTTGGTGATGACATTGGGCAGTGTGTACGGGAGGTGGGTGTGTTAGCAGCTCCTGGATCTGTTGACAAATTCCTCTGCCAGGATGGGACCCACGTATCTGGCTTGGACTCAAGCCCGACATCCACGCTACCTGTAGATGGTTTCCTGACCCTTAAGAAGGTCTGGGCTGGGCGCGGTGGCTCACGCCTGTAATCCTAGCAACTGGGAGGCCGGGGCGGGAGGATCGAATTTACAGAATCTAAATCTCCTTCTTTTTGGAATTGAAATAACCTAATCATAAAATTTATAAGCTCCTTCAACACCAGAAGGCATTTGGTACCCTGGGGGTGTCATATTCCCGGAAGGATTCGTGGAAAATGACTTCAGGGCAGTCTGTCACTATGTCCACGCTGCTCTGGGTCTTGTGTCCTTGTTATCTGGGGCTCGTCCTGCTCTTCAGAAGATGGCAGGACAGGCGGGGGCGCCCCGCCAGGTTCAGTTTTTTTTATTTATTTCGGCATATTCTAGGCGGTACACGATTTTTAAGGTTCAGATAAAGCCCATTTCCGCCCCCCTT